ATAGATGCACACAAATTAAGAAATTTTATTACATGAGAAAGAAACTGAATACAGAGATGTTTGCAGCTGGATCTTCAAGCACTAAAAAACACTTAAAAAAAATAAAATAAAATTAATAAATCTAAAACTGGGGTAAATCATAACCAAATATGATGGAAGGCAATAGAGGCTGGATATTTCCTTTGTCAGGGTAACAATGGAAACACACTTTAAACAACAGAAAAGATAAATATCTGTAAAATACATGATGAATCATACAGTTTCAGGGGAAATTCTTAAGCAAATGATGTTTTATTTCTTTTTAAATACAAGACTATTTATAATGCCTAATAATCAATATTCTTATACAATTAAGAATGAATATTAGCATCCATCAAGTGATCATTTCTAATATTTCTCAGAGAAATTCACCAAGATTTTTTTAAGCCTCCAGTTGATATTTAAATGACTCATTATTTTCATACTGCATAAGAATTAACAAAAAAAACTGTCTGTCTGTGTAAATGAATGCAAAGTACCTAAATGTTCAGATCAGTGCTCTGCTTCAGACTGTGATCAAAGTGTAGTTTCAGTTCTCTCATCCTACTAAAGATAAGAGGAAGAACTCGTCCTGGGGATTCCAACACTAGAATAGTACTTCTCTTACTGGACTAAAGAGGGACAACTGGTGGTTACCAATATCAGTGTGACACTGCAGAGTTTGGATAATTTTTGTCCTTTGTCTATAGGTATGCATATGAGCACTCCACATTAAAACAACTTTGTATCACATCTCACCACAAAAAGGAGGCAAGTAAATAGAAGGTCAAAGTGTAGTATCTATTCAGTTTCCTCTGCCATGCTCTCATACTATGATCTGGGGACCAAGTTCCTGCCTTCAGGCAGTTCAGAGTAAAACAATGAAGGATGCCAAGTCTTGGGAATTCCAACACTGCAGTATAGAATACATCTGAAAACTTATATCAACAAATACAATAGTTTTATTTTATAAAACAAGTTAAAATTATATAATTAAAAAAAACAAAACTACTGGAAGTTTTTTTACCAGCTGGATTCTTGGAAATTACATGAATGTATACTAATAATATTATCCATTGTCTCTTCTCCTGCACTTTGTCAGTATCTTCTTATTCTCTCCCTTATACTTTCTAATATATGTTTCCCAGTAGTATTTTTTAATCTAAATCTTATACAAATATGGATTATTTTCATATGTAGAAAAGAAAGGAATGTATATATATATATATATATATATATATATATATATATATATATTTTCTTAATATATGACGTCATTTGTTTACATTTGATACATGAAACAGTTATGAATGTATGAGATTCATGGAAGATTGAAGTTTATAAGCAGTAAATTCGTAAATTCTTTGTGGCGAGAGAGTTAAAAAGGCACGTCAAGCGTAAATTACGGTTCTATAGGATGCAAATCCTGTCAAAGAACGTTCTTGAAATTTTCTCGGACATTCAGGCCGGTAAATGTTATTTAATACTGTTTATCATAAACAGAGCATTTGCTTAAATACTTGTATCTATAAATAACAACGTTAAACATAAAAATGTCTTTAATAAATAAATTGTCGAACCTTGTCCATTTCTTAATATATGACGTCATTTGTTTAGGATGAATGTACGAGTTTTATGGAAGATTGAAGTTTATAAGCAGTAAATTAGACCTTGTCTAAAAGGTTCTTTGTTGTACAAGACGAAGGCACGTCATTTTCCATTATAGGATGCAGGTTGAATCCTGTCAAAAACGTTTATTTTCTATGAAAAATTTCTCGGACATTCAGGCCGGTAAATGTTATTTAATACTGTTTATCATAAACAGAGCATTTGCTTAAATACTTGTATCTATAAATAACAACGTTAAACATAAAAATATATATATATATATTCAATTTGCCTATCACCCAGTTCACACTCCTCCCCAGTCTTTTGAACTGGAGTAGATGTTTCTCTCTTATTTCCTGTTTAGGATTAGGTTTCTGGTTCTTTCTAAAGTCTACTTCAGCTCTATACTTTTAATGTATCCACCTAAAACTCTGAACTTTTATTTACTATAGAATTATTTGTTCTTTTCTCAATAGGAGTAGATAGGTGAACCTATCATCCAATTCATACTCCTCCCTGGTCTTTTGAACAAAAAGTAGAGATTTATTCCAGGTTTACTGCTTAATGGATTTCCAGTTTCTTCTAAAGCCTTTTCCTACTCTTTCACTTGTCCCTTGGTGGCATTAACTCTTTGCTTGGTGTAATGTTTCTTACTCTGTAACCCTCTACCCTGAATAGCTCTTGGGCAGAGTAAACATTATTGTAGTTTTTATATACAGAGTGTCCATAAAGTCTGTGTGCAATTAAAATACTTAAGTATTTTAAATTGCACACAGACTTTATGGACACCACACATGCACACACGATTTTCTTTACATTTTCTCTATCTTTCTTACCACCCTTTTTTTTTTTTTTTTTTTTATTTTTTTTTTTATAACCCTTCTGGTCTTTTTCCAATTCTTTTTCATGTCATATTATTATTATTGTTGTTATGCAGATTTCTTGGTTAGAAAGAATAACTAATCTCAACTCAAAAAGGTCAAGGATCAGGCACATACACTACACTATGATCTTAAGTAGAAAAGACTTAATCATCATACACACAAACAAGTAGAAAAAAGCATAATGATTAGTGACAGGATAGAAAGAATTTTTTTTTCCAAAAGTCTTACAGAATATTAAAAAAAAACTATTTTTTAAAGGACAAATTAAAACAATTTCTGGCCAATCATTTTAACAGCCATTGAATTTGGTTTTGTTTTTCAATTTACATTAATCCCTGCATTGTTCAGGCTAATATTCTCATCATTGTTAGTTTTATCAATGTTTTGACCATTCCATGAAGAATCTATACTGGTGCAAAATGCCTACATATGGACAGAAAATGAGTTCAGCAGATATACATAAATAGAAAGCAGTGTAAGATAAGGATGTGTCTTCTCAACAGATTTATTCAATCTATACAGTGAAGCAATTCTGAGAGAATTAGAAGTCCTACCAGGATTATTGATGGCCACAATCTTAATATAAGATATGCAGATGACACAATGTTGATAGCAGACATGGAAAGGAAACTACAAAAGGTCCTACAGAAGGTAGCAAAGGAAACCGAGAAGGACTAAGAATAAACTACAAGAAGACAGAATGCATGGTTATCAGCAAAAGGATGAACCCAAAATGTAAATTAGAAATCAGGGATACTAAAATCAAATAAGGACAGAAATTTAATCTCTGGAAAGTGTTCTAACAGAGAACAGAAAGAGTGACACTGAAATCCAAAAAATTATTGGAATGGGCAAAAGATAAAATTCCAAAAGCTAAACAGAGTATTAAGAGATAGAAAAATTTCATTAGAAACAAAGAAAAGATTATTGAACTGTTACAATGATAACTGTCCTCCTGTATGGCAGCGAATGTTGGACAATCTCTTCAAAGATGAAGAACTGACTTGAAGCAACAGAAATATGGTTCTACAGAAAGATGCTGAGGATACCATGGACTGAACATGCGAGCAACAACAATGTTTTGGAGGAAATGGAAACAAAAAGCAAACTTATAATTAACATCAGGAAGAGGCAGCTGAAATTTCTGGCGCATGTAATGAGAAAGGAGGGCTTGGAAAATATGATACTCACAAGACATATTGAAGGAAAGAGTGACAGAGGAAAGCAGCATGTAACATACTTGATGAACTTGAGTAATAGAACAAATTTTGTGAGAAATAATAAAGACTAAACTTATTAAAAGCTACAAGGAGTAGGAGGATATGGAGGGCCATAATTGCCTCCATCCTGAAGGGACACAGCACATAAAAGATTCTTTTAAATAATATTTACAATTTACATGATATGTATAGTAAAAAAGAAAAAGAAAAAAGTGGTATATAACTAGTAGTCATAGACTAATACTGTAGATTTCTTTGTTAGTATAACTAATTCTAGATAAGAGCTGAGGACCAAACAGATATTATTCTCTGATACTAGATAGAAAAGTATAATGGACAATAGTCATAAAAACAAGCAAAATAAGGGTATAAATCTGTCTATATTTTTGAAATGAGGTATTATGTACACTATTTACATTATTTGGACTATTGTTCTTTGTTGCCATATTTATCGCAACATTTCATCCATTGTACACTCCCGCCTTCTTCAGATGGTTGTAATGTCGAACTGAACCCTTTATTTCGCTTGCTGGAGTAGACTGTTCTAGTTCCACGTGCCATGTCTAATGGATGTCAATTATCAGTTATTTCCTGTTAATTCCTCTCTCCAAGTTCTCCACTGCCTTAACCAGGTACTGAACTCACAACTCTTTGGGTCCTGTTACTGGATCTAACCAATGCCTTTATCCACTGTGCCATGTGTCCTTAAGAGTATAAATAAATAACTGAAAGAAAAATAGTGTTTAGGATAGTGTTATACCGGAACATACCTATTCTATTGTTAATAGACTCTCCCACAGATAATAAGTAGTAGTAGTGGCAGTCGCCAGGGCTCAGTGGAGTTGAGTGAGTCAGTCGATGTTGGACATTGAAGTATCAACGACCACAACTAGATTGCTGCGTCATTAACTATTATTTTCAAGTTCCTAACGTTTTGTACGTCGAACCTAATTTAGGACCGACTTAGTGAAATACAAGCCTCCACTGTGAAAACTACTCTACAACAGATAGGGAACACATATTTTCACAATAGTGACATCAAGTGCTGTTTATTTTGTCAGTGAATATTTATTCACTATCCACTTATAAGAGTACAAGTCTCTAAAGCCAGTTTCACTTTTTACAGAATATTTTGGCCCCACACAAACAGGCTGATTTGACACAAATGTGCCAAAGTCACAGTCAAAGGAAAGAATAAATTGGACAGAATGGAACAGAATACCAACAGGAGACATACAGAGACTATATTGCTAAATGTTTTAAAACTTACCTGTTGACTCTTCAAGTATTTTATCTTGGGAACTTTCTGCATTTTCTTGTTCTTTCTGGGTCATCTCAATTTCAATTGCATTTAAAAGATCCATGTCACTGGCTGAAATTTAATCAAAGATGACATTATCAATTAGTTATTGTTATAAGTTATAGAAGAAATATCTTTACTTATTTATTTCCCCAAAAAATCATTTTTATTATTACATGGCAGCTATGAACATTTGTCACAAAAATATAGACATTTTAAAGAGATTTTTCCCAATCTCCTTATCCTTTCTTTCAAACAATATAAAAAACATCAGACAAATTTTAACAAATACAAAGGATCACACTCAATACCAAATAGGAGTTTCGGATTTCTGTACAACAGAAAACAATCATAGATGGGGAAAACCTGTTTGTTGTGCAACAATATGAACCAAGTCAATTCTATCACAAATTCAAAGAGAAACATCATTTCTTCAGACAGTGGTAATTGTACAGATTTTCATTTGATATACATTGCCGATTGTACAAAACCTGACTTATGTGGGTTGTACAATGGAAAAATTAAATAAAAGATTCAATGGCCACAGATATGATGTCAGACATGACAATGTGATATCAATGGAGCTTGTGAAACATTTTATTACAAATGACTGTAATTTCAATGGCGTTTCAGCTGTTGTACACTCTGACCTTCTTCAGGTGATTGGAAAACATCTTTGGTCTGCCTACCCTATATGAAGAGATTACTGGAGAAAATACAAAAGATTTGTAGTTCATATATCATCAGGACAACCTTCAAAAGTGGTTTGACAATTCACAGACACCTCTTCCAAGTAAGACGCCCCTCATAGAGGAGAACAAGACTAAGAAATAAAAAGGAGAAACAGGCCACTCTCATTAAAGTAAGACTGCAAAAATATAGTAAATCCGTAACACAAGGGGAAATAGAAAAATCAGGCATAGCTGACCACATATGGAAGGGAAAGGGAGATCACCACCCTCTGTGGAATGAGGTTGAAATAATAGACAGAGAACATCACTGGAAAATATGAAAACTTAAAGAAATCAGTTATATTTGCTAAGTCATAAAAATCTCCTAAGATGGCCAAGCATAGAAATGAACACAATATGTAAACCAGTAATACAGAATGCTAGAGAAAAGCAATAATAATAACAACATTTCAATAAAAAAAATAAAAATAAATAATAAAAAAAAATTGTAAAAAAATGGTCACTGAGACATTAAGTTTATAAGTCCCAAAAAATTCAAACACTGATGTCCTGAAGGATACATGACTCAGTGGATAAAAGCATTGGCTGGATCCAGTGACTTCACCCAAAGTGTTCAATACCTGGTTATTTCAGAGGTAAACAAAAACTTGGAAAGTCAAGTTAAAGGGAGATAACTGTGACACCCAAAAGAGACATGGTACGTGGAACTAGAACAATCTACTCCCAGTGTACAAAATAAAATGTTTAGTTCAAAATTCCAATCACCTGAAGAAGGACAGAGTGTACAATGGCCAAAGCATTGTGAATATGGAAATAAATAGGAGGACAGTAGTCTGAACAATATAAATGAAAGTGATAGTATTTAAAAAAAAAATACCTCAAAATTGTTTAAAATCACAGAACAGTTAAAATACCTCAACTTACTTAATATCATCCAATTCAATATATGTAAAAAAAAAAATAAATAAATAAAAATATTATTACATCCTATTTTTATATTTCCTCTCTGAAATTAATATCCCAATAATAATGAAATTAATTATTAGTTGGAAAGTATTCAACACAGGAACCCTGTGTCATTTCTATAAATACTTTGATGGTAATTGTTTGGATAAATTCCCTGCTGTGCAACCTAGACCATAATTTAAGCACAGTACTAAACTAAGGACAGGGTCTCATCAATTTATAGTTGAGTTGGCTAGATGTAACCGTAAATTCTATGCTGTTTCTTTACTTGCACTTCTTGCATGTGGAACTCCATTCCTGTTCCATGCTTTTTAGCCAACTTTAATCTTCAAAATTTTAACTGTATTGTCAAATCACTTTCAACTATTCTCCTGATTGCACTTCCTTTGTTCATGCTCCTTGGTAGGGTTTTTGTTTTCTAATTTTTCCCCACCCATTACCCTATTGTGTTGTAGTGGCTTTACTGCCTTACTTGGAGTGAACTCAATAAAAAAAGAACTGTCTTGTATAATAAAAATTCTAAGAAAATGTTTAATTTATTTTTATTGTTTTAAATGAGTTTAGCACATAATATTAATTAAAATAAGAGAGATAAATATAATTAGCTCATTGAAGTAATTGCAAATGTACAAATGTAAAAACAAGAAACTTAATATCCCAAAGCTAATTTTGCACAAACATTTCAGTAGCAGTTTCCTATTGAGACGTTTGGTCAAAAATTAAAACCAAGACAAAGTTAACTTAATGTTAGATATCCTTTTTATCATGACAAACCAACCAAAGTATCAATGATCTGAGACCTTACCAAATATCATCTGATAATTTATCTGAATTTGACATAATTCATCAAATGATATCCAAAAGCGATGATATAAATTCCATTATCCAAACTATGTAAAAACTATAAAGTTATGAATTGTACATACAGCTTGAAATAAATAAAGAAATTTGTTTGATTTGGACATGACATCACTTAGATTCACTGGTTTAGTTAAAATCATGATAATCACTTAGATTCACTGGTTTAGTTAAAATCATGATAAATCAAAACTTAAACTTAGAGAACATATCATGACAAAGAGAAAAAAATTCTAATTTAAAATTTCAGCATTTAAAAATTTTCAAAGATTCTTGTCTGAGTGTAATTATAACAAATGCTTGCATTTTTATATTCCCTTTCCTGCACACATATAATTCCATCATCCAAAATATTACATTAGTCCAATGAAGTCCGAAACAACAAGATGCATTACAGAAAATTCTTTCCACTTTATCATTAATTTGCCTAAAATCTTATTAATAAATTAACTTACATTTAATAAAACTTTCACTACAGATTATATTTTTTAACACTTTAAACATTTTTAGTGGATACTCATATTTTAGTAGATGTTCTGTTTATTATATTAAATAGTATTTTATTTCTTTATACAAGAACTCTTATTAAAAGAAAAATATGTACTTTCTGGCATATTTTTCTTTAATAAGATTTCTTGAATACTCAGGGCAGTAGACAAAAATAAATAAATGGAGCATCTCCTCAAATATTATTATCCACAAAAAATAACATTGAAAGTGATAAAAATATGTCAGATTGATAAATAAAAATCCATTATCTTAGAAAATTACAGATTATATTTCAGTATTTAAAAGTTTTTATTCAAATATTTCTCATTCACTTTCAATGAAAGCTTTAGGGCATTAATTTAAGTTTTTGAGATTTAAACGAAATTTAAAAATACAGTGACACATTTATTTATTTTTAATATTTCATTTACTTTCTATATTACAGCAGAAACAATGGTATATGTTTTTAAATTACCAGATGTGTTAAAAACTCCAAAGCATTTTTCGAATAGAGACTTACTACACAGTTAACAACTTATTTTCTCCCCGAAATGTACACACACACACACACATATATATAATATTCAAGAATTTTATTAAAGTTCACAGACATGATTTATATAAGAAAACTTTATGTAGCCAAAAGTTTTCCCTATTTTTTTAAAAAGCTAATTGGCTTCATGTAGAAAAGAAAATCAAACACACTTCACTCTCCCTAATATAATTTGATGGCTTTTCTTCTAATGACTTAAGGGAGAAGAGTCAGGAAAATCTGTGTACAAGGGAGATAACTTTAAATTTAATTATCTTCCATATTACTCTAATGTTTAATCGTTTATTTTAATACTTCAGTCAGGAGATTTACAAATAGTAGAACTACTTACTATATGGGCATTTAAATGACATCCCAGTTTATATAACAATGAATGTCAGATGTCATTCAAATTATTACCAACTTCTGGGAATTTTGATTTTCAATGTACTTTCAATGCAATTAATGTAAAAAAAAAAAAAAAAAAATAGAAAGAAAAAAGATCTGTTTACATAAGACTGAAAAAATTGCATTTTGTTTTTCTTTGATATCTATTATATTAAATGTGATTTCAAACTACATAAAGCAGTTGAAATAAATTTTGAATAGGCTACTTTTTTTGAGCATCCTAACAGCTGAGAGATAATAATACAAATATATTATCAAGAAGGAATATTTTTTATACAAATTAGTTACGACAAATGCAGATGGAGAAAAGTAGCTCAGTGTTTTTGAAACTAATAGAGTTTATATTGTGTGTGTGTATGTATATATATATATATATATATATGTGTATGTGTGTATATAGATATATTGTGTGTGTGTGTGTGTATAGATATATTATGTGTGTGTGTGTGTGTATATATATATATATATATATATATATACACACACACATAAGTATATGATTGGTGTATATGGAATGAATTCCAATAACCAACAATTACTATTCTTAAAAGAGTGCTCAATACAGAGTAGAGCAGATATAATTATTTATTTAACAATTATAACATAAATATGTTATAAAATCACTACAAAAATAGCCATTTTGTTTCAACACCCCCCGGTGTCTTATCAAGTGATGATGTTGAATGTAAAATAAATCTAGAATATATATATATTAGTGAATATGCATAATATTGAACGTTGATAGTATGACTTGGAGTTTCATGCTATTGACATTGGATATTATGTATATTCACTAATATATACTTTTAGCTTTTTTACATTGAGCATTGTATTTATAACACCTGTGGAAGAATTATATTTATAAATACATAAAGTTTTTCATGCGTGTATGTATGTATGTTTTTTATTATTATACATATATACATATATATACATACACACATATATATATATATATATATATATATATATATGATGAGAGTATATGTTTTAAGTATGGGTGCATATATATATATTTATAGCATGTCTTTCTGTGTGTGCAGGTATATTTACTGTCTTTGTACATGTTTGTGTTTTTTATCATTTTAAACATTATTTTTTAGCGGATACTCATATTTTATTTATTA